TGACAAGGAAACAGCCGAAAAACAACAACTGCAAAAATAACCCAAGTGACTGTGAAAGTAACCAACGGGACGGTACAGATCCAGATACAGCCACAGATATTCAATTACTTGTCTCTTTGGCATTGCCTAGGGCCTGTTATTTTTTTTTGTTGTTGTTGTTTTAGTTGCTGTTGTTGTTGGTGGCGGTGTGGGCAGTTGTGTCGGAGTGCTGCAACACCATGAGGATTCAAATATGGGTCCTAACACTTTTGCTGGGTGAGTGCTGAACCCCATTGAGCGATTCCATGGTTCGGGGAAGAAGTGGGTGCTGAAAATATTTGAAATATTTTGTGCTTGCCATTTAACTTAAATGATTAAATTTAACTTAAATGATTAAAGCTTCAGTTTCAGAAATAGATTCTTGACAGAATGGATTAAACTTCCCACAAAATCGTAATTCTTTATTTTTAATGCTGTTGAAAAAGTAAATATTATTTAAAGGACACTGGAACGCTTTAGAAAGCTTTCGATCTTGTATTCCTGTATATATAAAAATCAAGTGAATTCTTTAATCGAATCTCTATTATAAGTAAATCATTCCCTTTTCATAAGGATTGAAAACAATCATAGAAATTTTTCTACAAATTAAAATTAAAATTTAGAACAAAGAATGGAGCGATGCAGATAATTCCTTTCGTGAAATATTTTCATGATTCTTTTTAATTATCGTGGATTTTTTAGCTTAATGGATTCCATAAGCACAGCGATAAAACACATTCACGTTAAGCACACAGTAAATGGCAAAGATCAAACCGTAGCATTAAATATTCGCCTGATATTCACACTTGTTCCAACTACCAATCCCCATTCTTCACCCACACAGGCCTCCTCTGCGCCCAAGCACTGGAAACCAAAGCTAAGAGCGACAGCACCAGCAGCATCGACGATAGCAAGAGCGCCGCCTCCACGCCGCTGGAGTCGGAGGCGTCCAAGGACAAGCGCCAGGTGAGCAGCAAGGAGACGCCCCTCTATCCCAATCATCGCAGTGCGGATGCAGCGGCGGCCGATGATCCCGAGGACGGGCAGGAGACCATTTACGGCACGAAACCGAATCAGTTCATCATACGACCCATTGCCCCGCATCAGCATCAGCAGCACGAGGGGCACCAGGAGCCGCAGCTGCGGAACTTTGCGGCGGCCAACTCCCGGCCGCATGCCGCTCAACTGCTGGAGCAGAGTCAAGAGGTGAGTGGGGAAACCCGATTGATTGATGGGGCTTTGGCTATGAGGCATTTGTCTGTTCATTTGTTTCTTTGCTTTGTGCAAATCGAGGGGCGTTTCATCATGTCGCTGTTTGGCCCCCGCGGCCATCAGACATCGGAGATCGGACGACCTGGCATCGTGACTGGGAATCGGTTGCAGTTACACGATTCTTTGCAAAATGCCGGATGTAAACATCTCAAAATCAAGCCACAGCTTGTCCCAGTACCACAGTCACAAACGCCACGACCCAAGCCCCAGATAAATTGTCAAATTCTCCCTTTCGCCGAGGCCAAGAAACCTTGACCAATATCTCCCTGTGGCCCAAAGGTAGTTTTTATATTCGGAACAAATTGCAATAGAGACAGACCTCAGACAAAGACAATTACAATTAGGCAAAGACAATGAATGTTTCTATTACAAAATGTATAGAAATTAAATGCGCTGGACTGGCAAATATAATACATAATAATAATAATATGATTATTATTATAAATGAAATCGGCAGAACTAAGTCACGACACGACATGGTGACAGGCATCGTCGCAGTAACAAATGCATAATTGCAACATTATGTTATTTTTTTGTTTTGTTTGTATTAAGCGTTAAATAACGAATTCCATTCCCTTTTCATTTCCCACCCGCAATCATTTCCACCTTTCCGTCTACTTCTTTTGCTTCTGCTTCTGCGTTGGCTTCTTCTTCTTCTTCGTGTGTTTCTTCTGCTCCATCATTCGCGACAGCGAAACAATGGCGGCGCGGCAGCTTTGAGTGGTCGTGGGAAGAAAGTTGACATAATGTTATAATCACCCCCACTTTTGGTCTTGTCTGTGGCTTGATGTGGTGGCGCCTTGAATTGCCGGCGGCTCGGCTTTATTTGCCATAATAATGTGAATTACACGCTAGAAAAACACTGTGCAGCAAGTTAACAATAGATTCGGAATATTTCAAGCTTAACTTAACTCCTTGCTGGCATTAAACTGTTCTACTGTTATACTGGCAGCACTCTGAGCTATTCTAGTTCTGGTATACGAAAGGAACTTTTGCCGTTTTTAAGCACTACTCTTTTTAACCGTTATGTTGTTTATGAATCTCAGTCAAAACGAATTGTGTGTATGACAACCTTCTGTTGTACAGTGTAATTGGTGTAGGTCCTATGTTGGTCACAGATTGCAACATACCGCCATAGTGCTGCGGTTGTTGTTGGCGTTGCCAAACTCTCGCCACAAGTGTTATATAAACGTATTTTTTTAGATGCCACGCCATTCTCACAACGTCTGTGACTGTGAATCACCTGCCATGTGGTGGCTGCCACCGCAGTTGCTGTTGTTGTTGCTGCTGGTGGCAGTGGGCTGGCTCCACATTAAACAGCTGCTGACATTGGCCGCCGCTGGCTGAAAGTTTACGGTTCACACACCCACAGCAGCCCACAGTCGAAACCCATAATTACACGTCTCTCCATCTCTCTCTGCCCCTCTTCTTGCCACTAAAGGTGCAGCACTATGTCTACCTGCAAGATATTATGCGCCATCACCAGCCCAAGGCCCTGGGGGCCTCAGGTCAAGGCAAGGGTGCGGCCAGCAACCCAAAGAAGTCATCCACCCCCGTCGCCGAGGAGGAACAGGAGCAGGAAGCTGAGCAGCGCTATGCCGTGTCCATACAGCCACAGCCGCAGCTGCAGCTGCAGCAACGCCCTCGTCCCTATCCGGGAGTGGGTCCCTACCAGCTGCCACTGCCATTGCCCGCTCCGCAGCATCAGCAGGGACATCCACAACAGCAGCAGCAACACCAAGCCCAGCAGCCCTATCAGGTCATACCCGAGGAACAGTTCCTGAAGCTGCTGGAGGAGGAGCTGCAGGCGAGAGCCTACCACGAGCAACTGCGTCAACAACAACAGCAGCAGCAGCAGCACCACCACCAACAGCAACAACAGCATCCACAGCAGCAGGCGCAATACCAGCAACAGAAGCAATTGTCCATCCACAGCACAGCGGCCACCCACAAGGTGCTCCAGCAAGCGGAACCGTCTCTGGGCTTGGGTGGCTATCGCGACCGTTTGGTGGCCGAGCAGGAGCTTGTGTCGCCAGCCTACTCACAATCCCAATCCCGTGGGGGACCCAAATATCTGCCCTTGTCACAGGCCCAGCAATTCGAGGAGGAGGAGGTGGCAGCCCAACAGCAGCAACAGCAACATCAGCAGCAGCAGCAGCAGGCGCAGCGCAGTCATCTGCACAAACCCATCCAGCATCAGGGACAGCCGCATCAGCAGCAGCTAATCTCCGGCCTGCCCCCGCAGATTGCCTACTACCAGCCGCAGATCAGCTACAAGACCCTGCCCAATCATCCGCTGGCCAAGTCCTCGCTGGAAAGCGAGATTGAGAAACTGCTGGCCGCCAATAAGCCTGGACCGGCCCTTGCCTATGTCGACAGCAGCAATGAGCCGAGCTACAGTCATCAACAGCAATCGGCTCGCCACCCGCTGCCCCTGCAGCATCCGCCGCCGCCCACCTCACACCCAGCACTGCGCCAACCCAAGGCCTACCTAGCCAGCACACCCAACTCCCTGCTGGACGCGAACAACCAGCCCTTTGTCCCGTCGCTCTTCAAATTCAGCAACTACCAGCAGCCCACACCCATCTATCCTACTCAGGCTGCACCCATTCCAGAGCCCAAGAGGCTAGGACCCGTTGTGTACCCCACGCAGACCGCCAACCAGCCACAGCCCTCGCAGTACTACTACCAGGAGGCGTCACCCACTGCCGGTCCCAAGCCATCTCCCCACCCCAAGCCCTATCTCCGTTCCAAGCACTATAAACTGGCCGCACCCACGAAGGGTCTGCTCTATGCCGACTACGATCGCAGCCAGGGACCACCGCCACCGCAGTCGGCTTCGTCCAGCTTTTATCCCAGTCCGCCGGATCCGATAAAGCACGCCCAGAGAACTCTGGGTGTCACACCCACATCCCTTCCTCTGCCAGACTATCCCTCGCCGTCGCCGTCGCAGTCCAGCATCTATGTTTCGCAGGGCACTGGAATCGCGACGCCATCCCGCGCTACGCCCACAGGCACGCCGGTGCAGAAGCTGCGGACGCTGGACGAAGTTAAGCAGTTGAATCTGCCGCCCCCTAATGGAAAGCCGCTCACCCAGGCCGAGTTCCAGGCGCTGGTCGATGCCGGATACCCGGTGAAGGCGGTGCCAGTGCCAGTGCCCGTCCCGTACGAGCAGTACGTCAAAGATCATCCTGAGTACCGCAATCATCCGCCAGTGGACTATGTCCACCTCATGCGACTGGCCACACGCCAGTTGGCCACCCAGCAGCAGCATCATCAGCATCATCGCTCATTGGCCGCCCCCTCGGAGCCGTCGTTGAAGATTATATCCTCTCCCACGGCCAGCGATCTGCAGCAGCAGACGGCAACGGGCATTGGCGGCGGCAGTGTCACCTATTTGCAGCCCATCGAGGGACAACAAGGCCATCTGCATGCCCACGCTCACGCCCTGCAGAAGCGGCGTCCAAGGGATGAGCAGGACACGGCCGTGGCGGGCAGTGAGACCAAGGCGGCAGCACCAGAGTCGAAAGCGCGTTCGCAGGCGGCGGAGAAGGCTCAGTGAGCCAAGCGGCGGCGTACTGTTTTAGTTAAAATGTCCTTGTCTAGTTTATAAGTATTGTAAAAATGTTTCAGCACTTGCGCAATGTTAAATTATAAAACAAAACAAATAAAATAATATACGGAAACCTATCGAAAGAGCGCGTGAACGATGACTTTACATACATACATATTATTCAGATATTATAACTCCAAAAATGATCGAGAATGGTTGTGCTTAAGTTGTAATTGTTGGGTGCGGGTCCCTCACTTAGTTTGGGCCGAATCCCGAATTGCTGTTACTGTTGCTGCTGTCCGCCGAGCTGAGCGTGTCCGGCGTGGCCGTTTCCTTGGCCTGCAGGCGGGAGATTTGCGGATCTCGCTTGTCCTTGTCCTTGCGCTCCCGCTCCTTGTCCTTGTTGTGCTTATGTTTGTGTTTATGCTTGTGCTTCTTTTTGTCCTTCTTCTTTTTCTTCTTGACGAGGCCATCGCTCGGCCTGAACTTGCCCTCGTCGTAGCTGCTCTCGTATCGCGTCGACTCGGCCATATCGAGCACCGTCATCGAGTTGTCGTCTTCCGCGTAGATCTCCGTCTTGATGCGCTTGCTCACCGGCCCGTCGACCGAACCCTCATCCGCTGGCAGGACTTTCACTTTGGTCTCACTATCGTAGGCCTGCGTATGGGATGGATCGTTCACCACTGTGACCACCTCGCTGTGCTCCACCTCCAGCTTGATGATCTCATCGCCTACCGCAAACGCTTCAGTGGCCGTTCGTTTGATGGTGACCATGGCAGGCTTATGCCGCTCATGCGATTCGGTTTTCACGTTCTCCGCCAGCGATTGGGATTGCTTGGGGTCGCTGAGCTTCTTGAAGCTCGGTCCGCTGCTTGCACCGTCCTTGAGGAGATCCTTGTAGAAGCTCTGATTCTCGCTAGCCTGGAGGCAGTTCGGACGCTTGCTGCCGTACAGCGCATAGTACAGATCGACGGTGTCACAGCGCAGCTTGGTGCTGCCATAATCCTTGGTGGTTATCCTCTCCCACAGCCGTTCGACCAGACTGGGATTGTCCAAGGCGCTTTTTTTGATCTCACGCGAAAAGGGTGGATTATCGATGAGCAGCTGGGCCAAGGCATGACGGGCAGCCGGATCGGGATCCGTCTCTAGCAGGTTGATCAAATGGTCCAGATCCTCGCTGCGTCCATCGACTTTTACAAAGTCCACCAGGCACTCCATGGCGGCGATTCGCAGATCCAGAAAGACACCGTAGGCCGCATATCTGTGGTAGAAGTTCGGCAGCGACGGCAGATGGCCAAACTTTTGCAGCTTTCGGATGACCTTCAAACAGGAGACCGACACGACATACTTGTACGACGGCAGGCTCTTCTCCAGGTTCAGCAGGCGAGTCATCTCATCCAGCACCAGCCTAAGGAGAAGAATTGAAATGAAATGAAATGGAATCTCTCGAGAGCAGCAATGCTTCTTACTTGGCATCCGTGGACAGGCTGTCGGGGGTGATCTGTGTGCCGTGCATTGACACTGAGACCACGGGCGTCAGCGTCTCTCCCAACGCCTCCACCAGAGCAGCTCTGTAGTAGGCATCCGTGTAATGATTGCGCGAGTTCTCATTGTACTTGAAGAGATCGAATAGGAAGCGCATCACTTCTGGCGGACAAATGCCATGAGAGGTGCGCAGGCCTGCCACAGAACGGAATCAATTAAGGATCAACGAAGCACTCAATACGCACGCAATGAACACCCACCTGCCATAGCCACTGGAATTGCCTTTTGGAGAAAGTACAACTGAAAATTGGAGAAATTGTTCAGCTTTATAATGTGCGGGGCACTGAAGGAGCCAAAGAACTTCCTGAATATGTTCAGCATGGCGGGGGGACCGCTCCACGATGCCACCATCTGGTTGGCCACTTTGGTCAGGCTGTGCGCTGCCTGGACCCGCACCTTGTAGAAGCATCGATCGCTCTCAATGGTGTCGGTGAGGGCAAGTCGCGTGGCGTTTGTCGGGTACTTCTGGAGCGCCTGGATGGCCTGGAACTGGGCGGTGACATCGCGCTCGTGCCGCAGCTGGTACTGCCATTGAAAGTCGGGCTGTTCGATGATCAGGTCCCGCAGCAGAATCATTTCCGGATCAAGGCGTATCCAAAGCACAGGCGAGTCGCTAGATACACAAAGCATTAGGCATACATTTTGTGTGGAACTGTGTCTGAGACTTACTCCATGGCAGAGAGATCCATGTCCACCTCTTCGCCCGTAGAGAGAGGAATCTTCTTTTTCTTGTTTCGCCTGCTCTTCGAGTGGCAGGTAATGTCAGCCTTGACCAGAGTGTTCTCGATCTGCAGCGTGTGCTTGAAGGTTCCATCCAGCTCCTGCAACTGCACCAGCAACGGACCATTGTACTTCCGAACGCCGCGATGATTGACAAAGTCCTGACGAATCTCCAGCTCGATGGTGTTTCGCTTGCGATTGAACACCGAGGACAGCGAGAACTTGGCATGCCCGCCAGTGCGCACCGACTGATCCATAAAGACGGACATGTCCTTGCCAGTGACTGTGAAGATGGCTTTGATGAAGATATTGGTGGAGATGAGCAGCTGGGACCAGAGGCCCGCCCCGATTTTGGTCGAGGCTGCATTTGTGGCCAGGGCCAGCTGCTTGTTGAACACCTGTATGAGCAGCTGCTGGCCAATGCGATGCTCCAGCATCCGAATGACCAGATGAGCCTTGCGTCGCATGGCCTCCACATACTTGGGCGACACCGTGTGCAGACTCTTGATGGGAAAGTAGTGGACAATCTCCTGCTGCTTGCTGGCAGCTGCCGCGGGATTTGTGCTCGACACGGGCAATGGGGCGGGCGGCTGGCTGCAGTCGAGAATGATGCCGCCGTACTTCTCCTCATACTTCACCACGCGGGCCAGCTCCGTTTGCACCCACTCGCGGTACTCGTTGTTGCCAAAGCATTTGCGCGAATACAGGCCACAGAGGTACTCGGCTATGCCCTTCGCCAGCCAGGTGTCCGACCAGTGGTGGGAGGTGATGAAGCAGCCGAAGAACTGCTCGGCCACTGCGCGGGACATGAATGTGCGGGTTATGTACGTCTGGTCAATGATGGCTATGGAGTGTAGGAGATTGACCGAGACAATGCTCAGCGTCGCATAGGCACTGATGTCCGTGTCCAGCTCGTCTACAAACACCTGTTTGTAGCAGGAGAAGGGATAGCGCGTGGAGAGGGTCTCCTCGAAGAACTCGAACGCCTCGTGCAAGTAGCGCACCGTGTTCTTCAGCAGGGGCAGCATTCCCGGCAGGCAAAAGTGCGTCACCTCGTGCATGTGGGGATCGACATAGATCTCGAAGGGGCCCACAGCCAAGGCAATGTTGGGAGCACACACGGGCGTTGTCACCGTATAATGAAATGTTTTCCTCCTCAAATCTGGCGTCATTATGACCTCTACCAGCTCTCCGCACGAGACAGCCGTCAGATTCTTGTCCACCGTGAACTCCAGCTTCCAAGTGCACGGATCGGCGAAACTGTCCACGCACGGAAACCACAACCGAGTGGAGTTCTCATAGCAATTGGTGAACATGTGTGAGCAGTTGAGCAACTTCTCCTCGTCCTTGTCCGCCCGTGGAATGACAAAGTGCACGCCGCTCTTTGGGTTCTCCAACGAGAACTCAATGCTGATGCGCAGGCCGCGTCCCTCTTGTATCAGTGAGAAGCCATCCGGCGGCACTTCAATCAACAGCTCGCCATTGTTCACATCCGGATCGGTGAGCTGGGCAGCGTTTAAATGTTCTACGCGGTACTGCTCTAGCGATCGTGTTTTCGGATCGTTTGCGCAAATTCTCATAAAGGGATCAAAGTATTGGAACGTCGCCTGACACACATCGTTGAGGACGACACTGTAAATCCGCATTTGCTTGGCATTCAGTCGGATGAGGCGTAGGCTATCGCTGTTTGGCACTATGGTCAGCTCCACCATGCCCTGTGGGGGTATTTCCCGATTAAATCTTGTAAATAAATGCACGTTTAGTTCTTACCATTAGGTTGCGCCTCTCAAAACTGATGCCTGTGAAGCTCACAACCTGATGTGCCGTGCTGCGGTAGAAGGTAAAAACATTAATTGCTGATTCTGAAGAAGGCTGGAAGGGCACTTATAATTTGAATGGCCGAAGCGGTGCCTCAGGCACCTCAGGTTGCAAATCCATCGAAGAATCGCCGTTTATTGCAACCGAATTTTGTAAATACAAAACAACTTTCGTTTGTTATTAAAAAAACACGCATCTCTCGCATCCAGTTTGACCGCGGATTTATATATAAAATATACCATCTGACCCTCGAAAATATACCGAAACATGCGTTCTCATCAGTGCTGCCAACTTTTCATCAGGAAAAAAAGCCATTTCTGACTTGTACAAGACACAAAAAAAGCTGAAAAATTACAGAAAAAATTTAACAATTTTTTTATTTCTGTAGTATTTTATAGGGTTTTTACTGTAATACTCTCTGCACACTGAGTCCATCCTGGGGGAACGGTGGGAATTTTTGAAAGATGTGAAACACCGATTCACATTGACACCATCCACCATCCATGAGAAACAGCTGTTGCTCACAATTGCGTGAGGTGAAAATTTGTTTACTTTAATTAAAATGAATATAAATAACATTTCAATGGTCGTGAATGTGATTCAGCAGCAAAACATATTCTTGCACAAGCTAATCATGTTGTTGGACATGGACGATGATGATGAAGATAACTTTGACGAGGAGGAGATAATAGAATGGATATCTGTTTTGAAAACACTGAAGCCCGGAAGGTTGTGGTCATTTGTGAGTGCTTCTAATAAATGCAACCAATGTTTAAAGTACAAATATATATGTTATGTTTTTCAGAAGCGGTTCGGTACATTTTGGGAGAAGGATGTACCCGAAAACAACGAGGCGTTTTTTAAGGAAAGTTTTAGGATGGAGAGATCCTGCTTTTCTCTGTTGGTTACTCGCTTGGAAGTGCTACGGAAGAAGGACACAAACTGCCGAGCTGCAATTCCTCTGGAGAAGCGTATCGCCATATCTTTATATACTTTGGGATCTTCTTCTGAGAAGAGTGTTTTTCGGAGTGTCAGCCAACAGCGTCTGCAATATCCTGCATGAGTTTTGCAGAGCATTCATCAACGAATTCTCAGAGGAATACATGTCCAAAAACTATCTCACTTCAGAGAAAATTGACGAGTGTGTCCAAGCATTTGAAGAAATTGGGTTTCCTCAGTGCCTGGTGCAATTGGTAATAATGCAATAAAATCATCCATAATATATGTATATACATATATGTAAATTAATTTTATCACTTAATTTTTATGTTAGATGGATGTCACATCGAAATAAAATCACCTGCAGCTGATATTTGATATTTTTTGCGTGCTTTGTGAGATCGGATGGGGTTATTTTGTTTTATTTTTATATTTGCCTGTCTGTCATTGTTTACATTTTCGTAGTGATCTCCGATTTTTTGTTGTGAAATATGGTTGCATTTGACAATTATCGAAAAAATACCGCACTGAAACGTGAGAATTAGGAACATCCCAGATGGATGGTGGAATAACTGGGAAATTTTCGGAACGGCAAAACCTTACGGACCATCCCAGAAATGGATGGTGGATGGTGGATGGTCCCCAGTGTGAAAAGGCTATAAGACCGCCATTAATTCGTCTAACTCAGCGTAATTGTCTTCAGGCTCGCAATCGTACGACTTGGTCGTACCAATCAAGCGAAGATAATTTTTGGGCACATCATAATCGAAACAGCATTTTGCCAGTCTTCGTAGTTTTGTGACGCTGATATCTGTTGATTCGTCGAGTAAGAGACTGAATTTGGAGTCCCCAATATCGCTGCACAAGTCTTCGAAAAAATGACGCGCCAGAAAATTCTTAATGATGCTGGTGCATTTCGTTCGATGCAGCTTAACTCGTCCTGCAGCTCCAACTTCAAAATGTTTGTTGCACAAGTTGCTCAAATGATCAACTTGTGCCATGGATGCATGTTGAGCAATAAAAAGACACAACGCTGCTTCCTGTTTTGACAGTTTTAACAGGCAAAGTTCCAAAATCTATTTTGTTTTGTTGTGTGAAGCCGGTCGTCGAACTCGTGTGCTTCTTCGTTTTCGCATGAGCCCGCAGATCACTAAGTTTGGCTATTATTGTGATTTTGCAATAGCTGCAGTACACCCTATGCTCATCAGTATCGTCCTTTCTTGCCCAAGCTTTAAATTCATCGCTTTTAAGCCAAGCATCGCGGCACTTCTGCTTATATTCTTTAGGCATTTCACAAATTGTTATACGTTAACATTCACTTTCGCGCACATAGGGATGGTAGAATTGTATAGAGATGATAATATTCTTAGAACTAGTGGTGGAGTTGCAAATATCGATACAAAAATATGAAAATATGAAATATCAAATACTTTTTGATTCAAGTATAGCAACAATAAAAAAAAAGCGGAAAAAGCCAAATAATATTCTAAAAAAATCCAGAAGTCCCGCTTCCCGCAATTGCCAAACTATTCCCGCAGTTGTTCATAAAAAAAAGCCAGATTTGACGGGAAAAAAAGCGGAATCGGCAGCACTGGTTCTCATTTTCAATATATACCGTAAATATACCGAGGACAAAAACGAACTTAGCAGCTTAACCTTTATATTGTTTCAAGTATTTAATTAAGTCCGTCTACGAATTGTAAATGGATTGTTTTAAAAATATTTAACAAAAAAAAGACCATTTAGAAAATGAGAAGGCATGATAAGCTATTTTTTACTGCGCTTAATGGTGCAATAAAACTTTTCTTTACCCATAGGTGAATAACGCTCAGAAAAGCATTTGCGCGGTCAAAAAAATATGTTCACACAAGGGTTAAAGATTATGAATCATTTACCGAGAAAGTTAAATTTGGATATATCCCCCCGTTTAAAAAGTATTTTCCCCAAACGAGTCAGCAGTTTTAGTTCGACGACGAGTAGTTAAACATCTGGGGACATTTGTAGTTTTCTAGGAGTGCTACGCATAAAATAATATAATTAAGAAAAACCAGAACTGAACACAGTGAAGATGTACGGCATTGATAATTATCCGAAGAATTATCATGCTAGTGGCATTGGCCTTGTCAATTTGGCGGCCTTGGGCTACAGCAAGAATGAAGTCAGTGGTGGAAACACGGAGAGTACGAAGCCGAAGGCAGGTCTCTACCCTTCGCTGCCATACCCCTCAGCCGAGTCCGTGGGTGGAATGCCATATGTGGTAAAGCAGCACAAGGCAAGTTACGCACAGAATGCATCATACCAGGGCGTGGGGATGAGCCAGCCAACGCCTGGTCCGTCGGCCCCGTATCCGTACGCAAGTGCGGCGCCATACCCAGGCGCCGGTTTATATCCAAGTTTGCCGTCTGCCTCTTCATCGTTGCCGTATCCATCTGCGCCCCTGGCCCCATACCCGTCATCGATGCCGTATCCGAGCATGCCACAGCCTGGACTTCCGTATCCATCCGCTCCACTGGCCCCGTATCCGAGTGCGATGTCTGCATTTCCCAGCATGCCAATGCCGTACGCCCCCTTGCCAACGAGTCCAGCTCCGCAGCAGACTGGTGGCTTTCCGTCTCTGCCATATCCGACGGCGCCGCCACCAGCCAGTGCGCCCACACAAGCGGAGGAGCCGTCTGTGGGAATCGCCGAGCTGAGCTTCACCAGCGTCAAGGTGCCGGAGAATCAGAACATGTTCTGGATGGGCCGCAAGGCCACCAGTAACCGCCAGACGAGCATCCGAGGCGATGATTTTGCCTCGCTCCGCGACTCTTGTGTGGACAACGGTACGATGTTTGAGGATCCCGACTTTCCGGCCAACAATGCCTCCTTGATGTTCTCCAAGCGCCCTGATCGATACATTGAATGGCGTCGCCCTAACGAGATTGTGGACGATCCCCAGTTCTTTGTGGAGGGCTACTCACGCTTCGATGTCCAGCAGGGCGAGCTAGGGGATTGTTGGCTCTTGGCCGCTGCGGCGAATCTCACCCAGGACTCGACGTTGTTCTTCCGCGTCATCCCACCGGACCAGGACTTCCAGGAGAACTATGCCGGCATATTCCACTTCAAGTTCTGGCAGTACGGCAAATGGGTGGAGGTGGTCATCGATGATCGCCTGCCCACCTATAACGGCGAGCTTATCTACATGCACTCCACGGAGAGGAACGAGTTCTGGAGCGCCCTGCTGGAGAAGGCCTATGCCAAGCTACATGGCTCCTACGAGGCCCTCAAGGGTAACGTCTAGTCATAGCACTCCCTGCTGTAAGGATTTATTTCTATCCAATCTATCTGTTTATAGGCGGCACCACCTGCGAGGCAATGGAGGACTTCACCGGCGGTGTAACCGAGTGGTATGACATCAAGGAGGCTCCACCAAATCTATTCAGCATCATGATGAAGGCTGCCGAACGTGGCTCGATGATGGGCTGCTCTCTGGAGCCGGATCCGCATGTGCTGGAGGCCGAGACACGCGAGGGCCTGATTCGTGGACACGCGTACTCCATCACCAAGGTGTGCCTCATGGATATATCGACGCCGAATCGCCAGGGCAAGATGCCAATGATCCGCATGAGGAATCCCTGGGGCAACGACGCTGAGTGGAGCGGCCCGTGGAGTGACAGTTCTGCCGAGTGGCGTTTCATTCCCGAGCATGCAAAGGAGGAGATTGGCCTGAACTTCGATCGCGACGGTGAGTTCTGGATGTCCTTCCAGGACTTCCTGAATCACTTTGATCGCGTGGAGATCTGCAACTTGAACCCGGACTCACTGACGGAGGATCAGCAGAACAGCTCGCGCCGCAAGTGGGAGATGTCGATGTTCGAGGGCGAATGGACCTCGGGAGTGACAGCGGGTGGATGCCGTAACTTCTTGGAGACCTTCTGGCACAATCCGCAGTACGTCATTTCGCTGGAGGATCCCGACGACGAGGATGACGACGGCAAGTGCACCGTCATTGTGGCCCTAATGCAGAAGAATCGTCGCAGCAAGCGCAACGTGGGCATCGACTGCCTCACTATTGGCTTTGCCATCTACCATCTCACGGACCGCGACCTACAGGTGAAGCCGCAGGGCCTCAACTTCTTCAAGTATCGCGCCTCGGTGGCCCGTTCGCCGCATTTCATCAACACGCGAGAGGTGTGCGCCCGCTTTAAGCTGCCGCCTGGACACTATCTGATCGTGCCCTCGACCTTTGACCCCAACGAGGAGGGAGAGTTTATCATTCGCGTCTTCTCGGAGACATTGAACAACATGGAGGAGAACGACGATGAGGTTGGCTTTGGAGAGACTGACGATCGCATTGCTCCCGCCTTGCCGCCGCCCACGCCCAAGGAAGAGGATGATCCACAGCGCATCGCCCTGCGACGCCTCTTCGACAGCGTGGCCGGCAGCGACGAGGAGGTGGACTGGCAGGAGCTGAAGCGCATTCTGGACCACTCGATGCGCGACGTTATGGTGGGCACCGATGGCTTCTCCAAGGATGCCGTGCGTTCAATGGTGGCCATGCTGGACAAGGATCGCTCTGGCCGCCTGGGCTTCGATGAGTTCGAGGCTCTGCTGACGGACATTGCCAAGTGGCGGGCCGTCTTCAAGCTGTACGACACCCGGCGCACTGGCAGCATCGATGGCTTCCATTTGCGCGGAGCTCTCAATTCGGCTGGCTATCATCTGAATAATCGGCTACTCAATGCCTTGGCGCATCGATACGGCAGCCGCGAGGGACAGATACCGTTCGATGACTTCCTGATGTGTGCCATCAAAGTGAGGACCTTCATCGAGATGTTCCGCGAACGGGACACAGACAACTCGGATACGGCCTTCTTCAACCTGGACGATTGGCTGGAGCGCACCATATACTCATAGACGGAAGGTGGCAGGCAGGGCCACAATCGTTGCAATTTACAATCGCTTTCAATTGATACTAATCTAATCCTAAGTGCCACATTTACTTAATCCACATTCTACACATGATCTGGAGAACATACAGAACCATGACGCGCTACTTGTACAGCCTGCAGATTGAGATACAGTCATCCGCTATGCTAACAAATGAATCTTATCAAACGACCAAAACCGGAAATAATGTGCGGTAATTGAAGTGACCTTGGAACACAGCTCGAGGTGGCGATACACGATAAACGCCACAAAAACCCAAATGGTGCTTTGTATACGCCACAGACAGTCAGTCGTTCATATACTAAAAGCTATATATACTAGATGCTTTATAGAGCATTTTTATGGCCGCTGCTGGAGGGATGACTAAGAGAGCAAAAATCAAAAGTTCTTCTAAGCATTTCATGCACCTCATTAAGAGCCGGAAATTAGCCAGTACAAACTGAAACTGAAATGTGCATTACTAAACCATTACATATGCTACGAGATACTCGTACAGTCATCACATATAAACTAAAATTAAGTCAATTTTTACTGCATATATATATACTGTACATATATGTAGAATCCATATGCATATATTTTTTGAATATCATCGTAATCTCTGCACCGACAGCCGCTGTATTTGTTCAGGTGATAAACTGAAACGAACAGAGCTACCTTTTTGTTACTGCTGGAACTGTTACTGGCAGTTAGGAATGGAGCGAAGCAACTGAATCACTCATCGAATCAATGTAATCTTTAAGAGAGTAAGCTAACCCCCTCCCCAGTATCGAAATTTAAAATTTAAAAACATTTAAATATGTCAAAAAAACTATTAAAAAAATTTATATATATACTTTTGTTTCTATGTGTAATATTTCTAAACTACTCGTAATTTGGAAAGAGGCTGTCTATGCTCTTTGCGTAACTTGCAAACAAACTAACGAATATAATTCCCAAAAATATTGTTTATAATCGAATTGTTATTGTCTGTAAATGATATTGTTGTATGCTGATGTTTTTTTTATATAAAATAAACTGCAGATTTGCGAGTACAACTACTTGACCATGACGATATCGGTGGCACCGCTCGGTGGACCAGCGTCGATTAGGATCTGCTTAAATTCGTCAAAGACCAGACTGTTATCGGTCGCCAAGTGCGTGAGCAGCTCAAGAAAGTCCTCGTATTCCAAGCGCCACTTCCTAGGGGAGACCAACACCGCCATAAGATGGATGCCACTATTGAGTGGAAGGATACGTACTTGTAGCGCATGTAGATGAGACCAGTTTGGGTTCGTGTTATGGGGTTAGGCATTAGCTTGGCCTGCTCCAGCCAGGCATCGATTTGCGAGAGGAGAATGCAATCAAACTCCTCGTTCTCCAGCTCCGTTGGAATAACCTGCCGCAGGCAAACGAATCAGATAGACTCAGAGATACCAAAATATATGTGTATGATTGGGGCATAGCACACCTTGTAGTTGCAGTACACTATAAATAGCGTGTCCAGGGTATGCTTCTTGGGTTTATCATCGTCATCAGCCATGGTCAATTTGGGAGAACAAACGAATTCAAAGTACAAGTATATTTATGAGAGATTTTGTTTTCCTTAAGGCAGATAATGAAAAGTTCATGTGGGTGTACTAGATTCTCATTTACGAATTGTTTTTTGTTTTGTTGATAAACAATGCTGAGTGCCAGCTAGAGCATGAGTATGTGTATGCCTGTTGCTATGGGGATTTGTTTTAATTTTGATTGTTTAGGAACTGCTGCACAATCCGCTGGACATAGAGCACAAGTTTCGGCGCCTCCTGCTGGCTTCTGACATTGGCAACCCCATAGGGTGGCTCAATGATCACCTGCTGCAGCACAAAGATGGAGACTATCTTATCCTGTTCGAGCCAGGACACCTGATGGTCACCCAAATGATTGGCAATTTGGCGATACAGCGCCTGGCCTATGGGCAAGACTTTCGGATGGAAGCACTTAAGATACTTGGCCCTCTGCACTGTGACGTCATTCAGACGCTTCTGCAGCTGCAAGAGGATGGGGATACTTGTGTTAGGAATGTCAAAGAGACAACGTTGTTCCACTTACCTTCTGCAGGCTGAGGGCCGCCGGTGTTTGCATATTTTTCGACAGCACCACCTCCTTGACGATCTCCAAATCTATGCAGAAGTTTAGGTTTACGATGTTCATGTCACAAAGCATTCTGCCACCGGAGCCGCGTTTCTTGGTGGGTACTTTTAGCATTAGCAATTTGGTACCCGCGTCGAAGGCCACCACCTAAAAGGTCCGATTGATAAGCTAATTAATAAATTAGTTGCGTAGCTACTTACCTCGCCCAATACTTCCTCGTCGAAGCAAATCTTGCAGCGGACAGTAGATCCCACTGTGAAGCACGATAGCAGGGGAGGTATTCCTGCTCCATCTGATCCTTGGATTACATTTAATCGTGCGTGGCGTTTAAACATTATTTTGGCTTCTTTTATGGTCGTCGTCACAGATTGAAATGTGATAATCTACATCTCTCTCTCTTTTTGACAACCCTTTCCTATGGTTGCTTTTTCCCCTTCCGAATTCCAATTTCGATCTATGCTTTTTGTGTGTTTTATTTCATTTTATTTACAGTGTATGTACGCTAATTAATAATGTACTAAATATAAATGTTGTATATATATATATTTGAATTTTTATATATATATATTGTTTTTTTTTCAAAAGTAAACCGTTCCTTTTTTTATCATATAATCGTATATAATATATATATTTATAATTTCGCAGTTTAGCATTTAGCTTTCTAAATTGTTGTTGCTGCACGTTGCGTTGCTTGTTCTTTGTGTTTTGTATTTTTTTCCAAGAAGATTTATGTTTCGTTTATTATAATTATAATTATGTATGTATATAAATGTGGGCGTGTGGGTGTTTGGATGTATGTACCTTCATTAGCAGTATCTTTAATGCCTAAACACAAACAAAACAAAGAGAACTCTTTGCTTCTGATTTATCATTAAACTGAGAAAAAGTGCATTTGGATAAATTCTTAGCAGAAGAGGCAACAAATAGATCAAAGCGCTTCATGTTTTTTACGAGTTATAGAGAATAAATACCGAAACAAAATAATTTCTGGGGACAGGCACAAAACAAGAAACGAAATGTACATTGAATGAGAACACAACTGTACACCAATGAAAACGAATGAGAAGTAGCAAAGAACTTTTAAAACTGAGTAGCGAGAACTTTAAAAATTGAGCTTTACGATTTAAAAAGATTTTGTGTATGTTCTCCAATGATCTACGAACTAATGACTGCCTATAGTTCTCCTCTGGGTTTCCCATTTTAGCACTTGATACTTATACTTTGGAAATATTTCGCCTTTACTATATATTCATTAGTGTGTTGTAGTTAGTTGCGGGTCTTACTGTCCTAAATATGCTGTTAGAAATCACTTTATATGGGGGGGCTGGCTGGCTTCCTCTCGAATAATTTAGCTAGCTTTTCTTATTAAATTTGTTCAACATTTAGAATCCCTTTGGGGCGGGGAAAGTGGACTGCTCCTGCTGCTGTTGCTGGTTCTGGTGAAATGTTCATTGTTTCGTCTGCTATTGGCTTTGTTTTTGTTTAGATTGCGGGTTACATTTAATATCAAAAGGAATGATATATATGCATAATATATATATATATATGTATATACATATATAAAAATAAAACAATGCACTTTTGTTCTTGCACCGCAACGCGATTCTTACATGGGCCCATCAATGGCGCTCACTTTAAGGCGGAAATAGTACGCGGATCGGGCCAACATGCTCGCCGCGATTACAAACAATGCCACATAGAGAATATACATGCCGCCGTGACCCTGTCAGGAAACAGAGGTTTAAGTTTAAGTCAAGAATCGTCTACATAGAATTCTAGTTACTATTCACTTACCGATGCATACGAGATTGTGCCGATGGTCACGGCAATGCCAGCCACAAGGAACAGCAACGCCACAATGGCAAACATAACGCCGCGGCTGTTGGCGAAGCGCGAACCCACCGAGGATACCTTTCTGCAATGTGGACAGCGGGCCAGGGCATTGTGATAGGTGTTGAACTGCAACAGGTGAACAAATTATAGACATTACTCTCCGATTTGTGAGATTTGTGACTGCTGTCAGCTTACCAAAAATGTGTCCGAACAGTGGCCACAGATGACACGACACATGCCCGGCATGGTTGGCACGGGTGGGGTGACGGGACTTGGGGCCAAGTTAATGATTCGCTTGCAATTGGGTCGTGGACAAGCGATGCGCTGCGAAGAGCTCTTGCAGATTAACAGGCAATTGCACGGGCAGCGTACGTACTTCTTGCCCGGCGGAGCGTTCCTGATGGGCTGTCATCGATAGGGTAAGCGATTATTACCTTAAGCAATCCATTAATTAATTATTGGTTACTTACAGTTGCCTCATTGCAATGGGTGCACTTGACCACATGCTGCTCCCTCTTCGTGGTGATGTCAATCATGTGCTGACACACCCGACAGGTGACCATTGGCACCCCCCCAGTGTTGCTACTCTGCTGATAGGGCGGTGGCAGCTCATCGGGTCCAATACAAGGCACTGCCGTCGGTGCTCCATTGCCTGCGATTCGAATGAAACCAAAGAGATCAGCAAATTAACATTTATAAATACTCTCGTACAGTGCCTAGACCTTTCGTGTAAAATAAATACATCTCGCCAGCAGAGGCCTGTAGGTTAAACTGCTGCACTTTCTGCTTTCATTGCAGTCAGCTGCAGTCCCGGGGGCAGCCTCAGAGCAAGAGTGAGAGAGAACTGGTCTTCTGATAGTGTGTGGGTTGAAGAAGAGACAAATGGGTCAATGTTTTGGCGCTATGAATGCAAAGCTCCTGTCCGCAATCATTAGCCCATCCTAGACTGCAGTTGTGAGCTCTTGGATGAGCCATTGGGCGGCACAAACAAGTTCTAACTAACGAGAAAATAAGCAAATCAGTGTCAAAACATGAATACTCTTTTGCACCGGCCTGTCCAATGGCTAGCAGCCATGTCTAGCAAGTCGTAATTTAACTCTTTAAAGAGTAGAGAGTAAGAGAGTCGAGACTTGTATGATATATAAATGAGCAGCTCAATGAGAGAATGATCAGGTTCCTTCGCAAACAATGAAACCGCTGCAGGGCCTGTGTCTCTTCTTTCATGCGGTGCCCAGCGATAACGCAGCGCAAGTGAGGATGAGTCATAAATTTGGCTTTTGCCTGGATTGCGCCCCCCCGACGTTGCTGCCCGCGAATCGATGCTGATTAAACAGCTGTAGAGAAACGCTTCTTTCTGCTGATACGGCAAGCATAAACAATAACAAAAGTAATGGCTGCAATTTGGCGTCGTGTTACTAACAAATACCCTGCGCTACCACGTTACCAATGCCCACGCCCACGCCCACGTCTACGTTTATAGACACAGTGTGGCTAGGGCCATGACTCAGTTGGGAGGGGAAGTGTAAAAATCTATGAAATGCAAGACTAGGAGGTAGGCTTCGGCGACAACTTCAAATCAAAGTTGCGGATAAGTAGAGCGCACACTTGTTGGGTTTCAAATGCAAAGCGGAGAGCACAGCGACACCGGGCACCTACACAGACACTGCCCGCACACTAATAGACCCGCATAGGGCATCTATACAATACATGCGGGATGTGGGGGGGATTTTAAACCAAGTTGAATGTACTTCCCGGCTTTGCCCAGGGTCAATAATCAGTTAGTTGTACGCACCATCCTCGCTGGGGACTGCGGCTGTGCTGCTGCCTGGATTCTCGGCACCCTCGTCGCCGGCAGCGGACGAGGTGTACATGATCGCCTCATCCTTGTTGATCAAGCTCTGCCTTTCGGGGTCGGCCATGCTGGATTATCGAGATGCCTGAAGGTGCACTTTTTCTTCGTGTGACAAGAACAACTCCCGTTACTGCTGGACACAAATTGCCGTTCTCGCTGTTGTATTTGTTGTTGCTTTGCGGCCTCTTTTTTCTGCAACGCAACGCCACAACTGGAAAAAAAACAAGAGAACACGGCTTATTAAAGTATCACTTATTGAGCATATGTATGCTCCACGGCGGCGTCCCCTAAATGTATCCCAGCCCCAAAAGCGCAGCGCTCAATTTGTTCTTTGTTTGATTGCAGTCACTTGTTTTTCGTTTTCCTCGGTTTTTACACTCGTTTCTGTTGAATATCCTCCCTCTTCGGCATGCGCCGCAATAATCAATTGTTTGCCACCTTTATAGCACTGTCCACACAGGTCGGGTGCAGCGGTTACATTTGTTGCAGTCGAAAGTCTTTTAATTTGTCTAATTGTTTAATATTTGTTGGCCATATTCCTGCTCTTCTCTGCTATATTTTACCTTATTTTGTTGAAAATGCACTGCTGTCAACTCGATCTGGCCACTCTCCGTTTATGATCTGGCAACACTTACGCTGCAGAGCTGCAACAATTGATTTATTTTCTGTAACCCTGGTGCACACACAACGTTCGGAAGAATTGCGCATTTATTAAATTAATTAACTCAATTGCTCAACAAAAAGGAGATACTAATAGTACATAATGCATAATGCCTGGAAAGCATAGCTGTATGGAAGGCAAAAGCACTAACTAAAAAACTAGTTCAGCGGTTCATGAACTCAAATTGGAACCAAAACCACTCTGGCTGTGGAACGTTGATTACTAAAATGGACGAAAATATTAATAGATCGGAATGTAACCAGCCCAAAGACACAAAACAACTCAATGAAACAGTGAACAGCAATAGCGATGAGACCAGCAGCAGTTCCGGTGACATCGAAAATAGTAGGTACGGGAAACTACGTCGTAGATCCGTTCGCAGCTTTTCCTACCACTATCAATCTCTTCCCATGCGTGTTGTGGGCGATCAGTCTGCTTCTATATCGGGATATTCAAGCTCTGCCCGGGATGTAACATTAAGTTCCGCTCACATCATTGACGACAGCTCGGAGTCCGACTTGCACATATCCACCGATACGAGCAACGAAGAGCCGCCGAATAAACCCATCGCATTTGTTGGTCGGTCACTGGCAAAAACTGATCTGGACTTTATCAAAAAGCAACACAAACGTAAAAAACGTCCAACGAAGAAAATATACATAGAATAATATTTGAATGTCAACTGTGCGCACAGGGCTGGCAATCCATGAGTGACGCTCGTTGCACAGCACTGCTTCAAAAACCAGGGTTGGTTGGTTCATTTTGGAGTAGTGGTAAATTTTTACGAGCATAACTATTTACACGATTTTATGTAAATAAAACAAATTAAACGTAGGAAAATTAAATGCAAAGTGTAAGTAAAACTCGTCCGCTGGCATAGGATATAAGATATCATGAAAAGCTGTCCGAACAACGGATAGATCGCCTCGCAAAATCTGTGATGATTTCATTTTCACACTGCGCGTTGTTGTATTGGAAACTTCGTCGTAGCTTTGCTTGATGCTGTTGCTATTGTTGTTGCTGTTGTACACACGGCTGCTGCTGCTGCTGCTACTGCTACTGCTAGGCGCCGACGTCAACAGACACAGCAGCGACGCGACGCACAAAATGTTTGTTTTGTGGAGGGCATAGAATTGTCTGCCTGCCATTTAGGGCACCAGCCAACAACTAAAACAGCACAGCACCAGTCATGGCCGGAGCCACAGCGGTAGCGAAAACGTCGAGAACACCTGTTCCTAATTGATTTTTCACATTTTTCCCCATTGCCTACAGATCATTTCATCCGACTTCAAATTCAACAACTGTGTTCTGGCATTTTTAATCAGAGAAATTAAAAAGGATTCAGCTGCAAAAGATGTTCACCTCTTAGACCAACCATAGCTCTAGTATTCATTAGAAATTTTAAGTAAAAACTATTCGAACGAACGAATTTGCAAGCCGTGTTTGGCCACCGACAAGTACACACCATAGAATCCGCAGACAAATCGGGAGATATGGACGCCCCACCAATGTTCAACAGCGTCGAGGATGAGTGCAGATATTGGAAAGAGCGTTCCAAGCAATACCACAAAGAGTATGTACACACATAATTGGTCCACGGTAAGAGCCCCTTTAATCAATTCAATGTTCGCCGATTGCAGATGGACAGACGTGAAACAGGAGTACGATGAGTTTGTCGAACAGTCACGCGAAATGGAAATAGAAATGGACGCCACTCTGGAGCAAAAACAGAGTATTATCAAAGATCTCAGAGCCAGGCTTAATATGTTTGAGAAAGAAAACGATTCCCTTAAGGTGAGTATAACACAAACTATACTGAAACACTGCAGCCACCTTTAATAATATCTTCACGCAGCTCAAGCTGGACTCACACTGCATTGATATGTCCAATATGGAGAAGCAGTTGGATACAGTGAGAAAGGAGCGCGACTCCATGAAGGTATACCTGCGGCAACTGGAGCAGAAGAACGACGACCTGGAGCGTGCCCACCGCATACTCAACGAGAGCATAGAGAATTTTGAGAAGATGTTGGATCAAGCATACGAAAAGAATGCTCTCCTCGAGCTGGAGGTGGACGAAAAGGGTGTACTGCAGGAGAAGCTGCAACGGCTAATGGATGAGACGAGAGGTAAGAGGAGCATAGGGGCATAGCCCAGCCAGACTACAGGCTCTAGACTACATTACCATCTGTTACAGATCTCAAACAAGAGCTCAATGTGAAGACGCGCTACACGCCAGCGAATGGCACCAGCAACCCCACAGCAGTAGGCACCATCGCTGCCAACAGCACCATGAACTCATCCGCCTCTTTACCTAATGGCATTTTGGTCAACGGCGATGTGACGCATCCATACGTCGACAACACCGTTGCCACAAAAGTCACCAGCGTCAGCGTCAGTGCTCTCAACGGCAGTTTAGTTAATAATAAAAACGAATATAATCAACAACATTCGCTTAAAAGTAAGATCCTCCATTCGTTAAAGCGAACAAAACGCGTCTTCAAGCTATCCAAATCGAGTCACCATTCCAAGCTTATCAAATAGTTTCGCATTTCATATTGCATTTAATTGTGATTATCGTTTTATGTTCCATTTAATTGTAATTTATTGTTTCATATAACTTTTCATAATTTTTTTTACCAGTCGTGCACAAAAACACATTTTGTTTAAGTTCCTTTTTTTTCATTTGTAATTGTATAGTTAATAATTAAAATTAAGACTCGAATCGAATGTAACGAAAGTTTGCGACATTTCTTGTAGGCAAATTGTGCGTTTTGTGTGCGTCTGTAGCTCGTAGTTGACCAACTAACCGCTGTGTTACTCTTACCCTATACAACTCTTAACTAACCTGCTGTGTATGTGTGCTTCCTCTTGCAGATCCCGAGAACCTTATCAATGGCAATTCCATGAATGCCAGCTCCCGCACAACGGCGCTCAACATTGTGGCCGACATGTTAAGAAAACTAAACGTAAGTCCCTCCAAAACCAACAACCAATAACTGCTATCAACCACTGTCACACACATCACACTATTATAGCCATGCCCTTAGAGTCTTCTCCATGTTCTGTTCTATTATTTCATCTGCATCCTCTGCACTCTTTCCCCGCCTAGTTTAAATGTTTTTCCATATGTTTTTAGTGGGATAAAGCCTTGTTATGTCCTGAATGCGAAAAGTTTCGCTGCATTTGTGAGCGCCCGTCCACGCACCAGTCGCCGCCGCCGCCATCGGCCAGCGACTCGAGCCTGTTTCGTCGCGCCTTTGGCGGCAGCAGCGGCTCCGTTGTGACAAGCGCCCAGACCACGCCCGTCAGCGATGGCGGCTGTTCGAGCAGCAGCTCTAGCAGCCTGAACCTAGGCACAAACATTTTTAAGCGCTTTGCCGAACGCATGCGCAACTCCCAGGACGCAGAGCTACCGCTCTGACATTGCGCATCGAATTTAAGGCTATTGTTAAGTGCTCGCCGCTTGCATTTATTAATTGCTTTGGTTAATAAATACAAACTATTTTTGTACCTAACGGACACGTTTTGTTTTGTTGTTACCACATACTTGTAGTTGCTTGTTGTTGATTGTCATACGTTTGGCTAACACTCTGCCCACTTCTGTTGTCTTGCAGGCGATGGAGACGAAGCTGAAGACATATCGCGAGCATGCACCGCCCATGCAGCCGCGCCAAAGATCATCCCAGCAGCCGAATCATCCAGGAATGGCTGGTCTGGCCTGCCTCTCGCTGGATGCGGAATAGTCCCAGCCACCATCACCATCACGATCACCATCCACCTCCAGTCCAGAGTTTAGTGGGGGATATATTGTTCAGTTGGCTTTACGTTTACGTTACGTTAATGTTATCGTTGGCAATTATTTTCTACCTGCTGCCGCCGCTTCGTTTATTATTATTTATTTCACATAACTTGACTTGTAAAAATTCGAAATTACACAACAGTTGATGTTGTCCTTTCAAGCCCAACAAACCTATAGAATGCCTTAGTACGAATTAAGAAGTAAACAGTATACTTAAGCTAGGTCCGATTCGGTTCCCTCTTTTAGTTGGTGTTCCACGCGAAGGCATACAATGTGTTTAGAGAATAAGATGATGGAAGATTAATGGTATCCCCACAGGCCCACATAGACGAAGCTCTGTCCAAGTATTATGCTTCATGTGGACAGCGATAACACAACAAAAAAAAAAAAACAAAACCCGAAACAACAAATACTCGTAGCGTTTAGGAAAAAAGACAAACCACAAACCTACCCCTTCTGACTAGACACGGCTTCGTTGCCTGTCGTATCCCGGCTGCTTCTGGCGCCTGGCCGTGTCGCCGAAACTTTAATAATCTTATACCATAGTTATATCTATCCCAGAGCTATTTTCTGTTTATATTTACCATCGAATATAAATGTGTAAAAATGCAAAAAACAAATCTGTTAAAAGCAAATGTATAAAGATAACAATACAAACCACAAATAAAGAGGATTCTAATTAGTTTTGAATATAAGCTCCATGGCCAGATGCATTTCTACTCCTGCGCGTTTCAATGTCAATGTCAACGTCAAAAGTTTTAATTGACTTGTTCCACCACGCTCACATGTGTAATAACTAATTAATTTACAAAATATTTGGGTTCATTTCGCAAGTTGGACGGTGCGTCAATACCTATGCCAAGGCCAAACGGATGCGCCCACCCCCCCAAAAACGAAAGCTGCTCCACGAGACACAGACAGAGAGAGAGAGAGAGAGCTTTTGTTGCAGGGGAAACCACCCACTGGTGTTTTAGTACACATTCTGGTGCGGGTTGGCGTAGCTTTACCCCAGGAAATTATGCTGTGGGCGGAGTGTGGCAACGTTGCCGACCTTGCTGGCGGGAAGGTCCGTCAGTGGTAAGCTAATGAAAGTGCTCTGGTCTTTATAAGTAAGCACGGGTTAGCGTCGAGTGCTGGCATTAAGTGAGTCGAGAAATCCGTAGAAACGGAGGTGCGGATGATATGAGTGCTGGCAGGAATGGCAGGAGGACAACAAATGCAAAAACATTGAAAATATGACACAAGCTTTTATCATACGCCCGCACAGCACTTACCAGCGACGGACAAGTGTTGTTGGAGCAACAAGAGCTGCTGCTGTTGGGGGCTGATGCCTGAGTGCATTGTTTGCCCTGGACCAGGATAGGGCGATGTCGTGGGAGTCTGGCGTAAGCGGATTGGGATTGGCACAATGCAATTGCCGTTGGAAATACAAGTGAACAGGCACAAAGCCAGGACTGCGCTGCGCGTGTGGGAGTGAGCGTTCAAGGTTGTCCTGGTCCTGTCCCTGTTGTTGCTGTTTTTTTTCAAGAGCAATTTTGCGAATTTGCCGTGTTTTTTGCCAGCCGCTGTCGACTTGATGAACTCCCACGGGTAACTCGCTGTCAGCTAATTAGCTGGCAACGCGCATATAACCTGCCTCTTCCACAAAAGCCAGCAATCAGAGCCGAGAGCCACGGCACAACCTTCGCAAAAGGCGAGTCAAACATCATCGCGAAACAGCCACTCAGTCGGCAAACAAACGCCATTGTTTTGCCACAAAGCGGGCGAATGATCAAACAAGCAGCTCGTAAAAAACTGTAGCGAAACTGTGCCTTAAAGTGGCCACAAGACAGGGTGGGTGCACTTTGGTAATTATCACAATTTAAATGATTTTCCTTTCGAGCCCGTTTCGCGGTCAGCTGCAGTGTGATCAAATTGGCGCGGGAGTGTATCGATATGACCATATCGATACTGCATATTTTAAGGAAACAACGATATTTGTTGAATAATGCACCGAATGGCTTTGTGACATATGAAAAAAATGTTCGCTTTTTGGCTTTCCCTAAAATAAATTCCTTCATCTTATTCTATTCGTCGTGGTGCTTAGAATAACGATTTGATGTCTTGGATATCTAGAACGATATGTACTTGACGATACCCATCGCTAGTTTGATCCCATCCCTATCACATGTACGATTACAAAAACAATGTGGAAAGTCGAATCCTTGACGATCGGTGCGCAGCTTTTAATAATTCATTCAATCTCAAGACAAGAAAGAATACCAAAAATAATGAAACGAAAATGAAAGTTTTGGCCCGGGTAAGTGACTCTCTGACAAATATATACCTACTTATTGTATTAGCGTGCAGGTATTTAATAAGTGCAGGTATTTAAGCCTCGGAGATACAATTTATTTTGATAACGCAATGTGTAATTTCTGATTAGAATTGTCTAGGGAATATGCGTACCGTACGTACTCTTTAGAGTACATTTTCGGTTCATTTGAGAAGTAATCAAGTTACCCTCTCTTTTGCACCCTGTATACACCTCGTAACGCACAACATTTTCGGCATTTATGCTCTTTAAATATTTAAAATACGCGACGCTTCGTAGTAATGTAGCATGGCCCACAAACGGAAATAATGATGAGGTGTGCGTCGTCTGGCAGTGTGTGTGTATATGCCTGCCTTTGTTTCTGTTGCTTCGGTTGAAGAGGGCGCCCTGGGGCCAAAAGGCCATGTCTATCCTGGCCGTCCTGTCCCTCCTGCCCTTCTGCCTTGCTGCCGTGTGGCCGCGTGGCCGTGTGGCCTGTCCTCTGCCTAAACATCAAACAAAATCGATATGTGGGTGGTGTGTGCGAGTATATGATTTTCGGCATAAACAAGCAACAAGCGGGGCCCCCACCAGACACACATACTTACGCGCAGTAGTCGTACGTAAACCTGGCCAGGGGGCCCGTTTACAGGTTTGGTCCTTGCTTTGTTTGAACGCCGCAGGACGCTCATTTTTAGTAATGAGTTTGTCTATCTGCAGAGGATGAGCAAATAGGGACCTGGCCTCTGCCGAGGCTTCCACTAGCTTCTGGCCAGCTGCAACAGCAAGCAGCGGATGGTGATGGTTAGCCGAAATGCAGAATATCCTAAAAGGTTCTAGTAGATGATGGTCGATCTTTGGCTATGGGGATGAATTGTGAATGAGCCAAGGCCAAACAACAGTGGACGAAAGAAAACCGAATGGATCATTTGCCTGAAAATTAGTTTCTAATAAAAAGGTCGAGAAAATCTCAAAATATTTTAATATAAGGGTATAGAAAAAGGCAACAATTTTCTTCAAGACAGGAATAAATATGTATATAGAAAGGCAGCACACGCACACATACATACTTCAGGCCAAATGTCCTGAGGGTCGTGTCGATGCTTGTTAGGAGCTGTCTTTCCGTCGCTGTCGTTGCTGTTGCCATTGTCGTTGCCGTCTTCCTGTTGCCATCTTCCGGTTGACAATATATTGAACATTTGCTATAAATAATTTGGTCTCGATTTGAAGTGTGAGCGGTAATGAAATTCACTTGATTATCCTCTGATTGGCGCCTCCCGGAACGAGGAACTGCACTAGGGTTGGACTGGGTTGGCTGGGTGCTGCACTGAAGCCGAATCATCAATCAGCTGCGCTTTTAATTAGCACTGACTAGGGTCCTTTCCTCCACGCATCCGCTTCTCCATGTGCGGACCCCGACCGCAGCTCGAGTGCACATCATTAGGACACACATTTACAGATTTAATTAAATCGAATCGATTCGTATTGGATTCGATTGACCTTTAGCAATTCGATTCGTCTCATGGAAGCCCCTTTGATTTCATGGTTTCCGATTGCATCCTGTCATGTGGGGGGGCATCTGGTTCCAGCAGCGCTTATGTACTTTCAATTAGGTGCAGACAATAAATATGCAAAGTTTCCTTCTAGATCTACGACCAAATGGTGCATGTGAGTGGCCTGCACTTAGATTAATTGAAGCACCTTTGACTTACACCTTCGTCTTCCACCTTCCACCTTACACCTCCTTTTTGTTGCGCTCAATGAATTGCTGTCAGTGGCCTTATAAAATGGCCAGCGAAATGGGCCCGAACCCTTGTGTAAACTGTTTTTTATGACACTGTCGAGATGTGTACCCATCCTGCCATCCTTATGTTTATGGCATGGCATGGCACCTTTGAGCCGCTCTCTGCCTCTGTTTTGTGTATGCCAAATGGGCAAATGGCCATTGTATGCGGTGGCTCCCATTCTGATTTATGCTTCCATACAAAAAAAAAAGGGAACAGGCCCGAATATGACATAGTACGCCAGTGTTCTCGACGTCTCTGTGGTCCATATTTACAACTCAACAGCAAGAGGAAGGTTTCGGGTTCCGTTCCCTTAATGCCCCGCATATGGTGGTGGGGTACCATACATATAAATCATGCAAATGTTTCATTTCGCCAGTACAAAAGGCCATGACAATTGATGGAGAATATCTTGCAACGATATTCTGACATTTTTACTGAACACACGAAGGTTAAAAGGTTTGCAAAACTTCAATCAAAAGAAGCCCTGCAATCTTTAATCGGGCTGTTGTTTCATCAACAGAATAGTGCCCTCTAATGGAAATATTACACTGTTTAAAGTCATAAAACCCCGCTCCCCGCTCCCTCTTTCTAGATCCCATCAGTGTATAAAGCAAGGACTCTGCTCATGCAGAACAGAGGCATAATTCACTTTACGAGTATATGATACTCTCATCATTTTTGGGGGACTCTCTGCAGCAGTCAATTTTTGAATAATGAAAAACTGTGTACGGGTATACATATATACATATGTATATATGTATATACGAGTACCTGACTGCTGCCTGTGGGCTGTTTGGCAGCCTTGGGTCCATGGGGGTGGGTGGATGGGAGCCATGGATGATGATGGAAGTGCGGTCCGTGTCCTGATCCAATGTAAGCGTAGACCAATTAAGCGTACACAAATTTGTTACTGTGGAAATATAAGAACCACTAGTTGCTCTGCCCACTCCGGCAGCAGCAGTCCAACCCATTGGATATCCAGTGCGTCGCAAATCTCCACCGACGTCGACATTGACAAAACTGCGGTGGCGGTGGCGATGTCAGGGCTGCTGCTTTCAGCTCAGCTCCTCCTACGCTCCAACGCATTCAACCTCCCTTTTAGCGTTCACCACACGCTCGTCACCCACATTGCCGCGCATTGCATGGAAATATTTTTTTTGGCTATTGATACGCGTATGCTCGTACGTTCCGTACGTGCGTATGTACGTACTCGTGTGTCGCTGGATGTCAAGGGATGGATGCTTACAAGGATGACCCTGATGGCCCAACAAACTGTTGCTCTGCAGGCGCCCAGGGTAGGCGGTGGTGGGTGGGTTGGTGGTTGTCATTTTAGCACACGCCAGGGACATTTTCCCCAGGCACACAGACAGAGGCAGCAAAGGAATCGTACAAGGGGAATTTCCCCTGCGCGCAACAGTCTTTTCATTCCACCCACTTCTGCCGCCGCGCCGCTCTTAGCACTCTTGGGGGGGGCTAAGGGGACAACTTCGTGCTTCCACCGAACTCCTTTTTTGAGTAGTCTACCGTTTGCTCCAGCCACAGCTCCAGCTCCTGCTTTACTGAGACTGCACCTCCAGTCTTCTTGGGGACTTGGCAGCGTGTGCACGTGTCTATCGCAACGAATTTCGTGTCGTTCAAAAGTCCCAAAGTCTAAAGTCTTAGAGATTCGAATATCCCCGTGGAGTGTACACCCCAGTATACCCATCACATTTGGCGAAGTTTCTCTCGTGTTTTTGTGTGTCCCTCTGCTCTGCACTGTCTGGGTTCAGTGTTCCAATTTCAAGCCGCGCTAAAAGCTGTAAGTATGACAATTTATTACCCCGCAGCTTTATGATTTTTTTGTATTCTGCTTGGCTGTCGGGGGGGTGTCCCAACGCTTTGTGTACGCCACGACGTGTGAATCCTAGTGTTAAGAGGATTACAATGTTTCCAGTAATTATTATCGGTGTGTGTTTGCTCTTTCCATAAAACGGCGCTTCGGGGAATTAACTTTGTTTCGATCTTATCACGTTTGACACCCCACTAAACAGGAGAGTCTAAAAGTTGAAGGAACAGTGAAAAAAGTGAAACTGTTTTTTGCCATTTAGTTTTTAGTGTAATTCCCACTCTGATATGTGTATGTATGTATATATTGTATATATTTATGCGAGGACACACACACGCACACACACAAACACATGGCCCATAATGCCGTGTGTCCTCGAGATACACTTAATCCGACATTTACAATTTTTGCTTAAGGATTTATTTATGGATTCAATATGTGTACAACGCTTACATTTCCGTTGCCCTGCAGGAGTGCGTATGAGAGGAGGGACCTACCGTTTGTGTGCGTGTGTGTGTGTGCCTGTACCTTTTAGAATACTTCTTCAATACCAGTTCCTGGCAAAGGCAAAGGCACATTTGCATGCGCACACGAGAAGAAGCTAGAAGCTGCTCTGAATACACTTATTTTCAATTTTACATTTTTTTTTTATAACTCATTTTGCGATGCACACAACACATTACGAAGCTGAGCCCAGGAAAAGGCAGCAGCAGCATCCAGCATATAGCATCTAGCATCCAGCTCCCAGCACAATGCCAGTTTTCGTAGGAACCAAATAGGATGTGCCTGACAGGACGGTTCTGAACAGCAGGGCAGCAGACACAGCACAGACGGAAGCACAATCAACAAGCTGCAAAAGAAAGTGTGTGTTTGTGTGTGTGTGTGTGAGGCAAATGCAAAATGCACAATTTTTCAACAGCTCGGAAGCTATCCGGTGCAAGTGTCTGTGTTCTGTGCCGGAGGTGTGCTGGAAAACAATGATTCTCGCATTAATTGAAAATGGCCATGAAGGAGCCAGAAGCCAAGCATCCTAAAGATAGATTCCCTTTAATTTTCTTCGCCCTGCATCCACTGCATTTGCACAAGTCAAAGCTTAACAAGGGAGGGGGAATGCTGCAGCTACGCTCGCATTTGAATGGCAAGCAGGTAAACAATGGCGCCAGCAGCCCCCACAAAGCGAGAAGTCATTTTGGCTTTTGACTTAATTAATTGACTTCGGCAAAGGCACTGCTTTGTTCTAGAACTTGGTGTTACCCTGGGCTATTGAAAGTGCTGGAAATTTTTTCAATTTAGCTGACCTTCTCCTTGACAGAAAGCTATCGATAAATCAGTGTTGAGTCTTTTCTACTTCCGTTGCTTCCTTCGTTACTTCCAGTCAGCCAATGAATTTGATTGGTTGCTTAAACAATCTATAAATAATGAATTCTATATGTAGTCATTCTGCTCTTTAAGAGAGATTTTTAATAATAAATGCTAATATCAACTAAAAGTGGAACTGAAAGCAAATATATTTTATTTTCTTAGTATTTAAAAAAGGCCTCTCTAATTTGTCTCAGAACTGCAGATCACTGGGAAAATTCACTTGAATCCCATGAAATTTGTAATTGTGGCTTAATCGTTGATGAAGCAAATTATTTCCAAGTAGCAAGAGGTATCATTGTAGTTTCGTTTCGCACACAATTCTAGGAATCCGATGGAACGGATTTATTCAAGCGAGCGAATTCTCGGGAACTATAGGGAACTATTCCCAACTAGAGCCAATTAGATATGATTTGAGGTGAAACCAATTAAAATAAGAAACCATCGAAGAGAGCATTTAAATTTGGAATAATTTCGTCCACAAAGGCGTATCAAAAGCGACAGTCAATATTTAACATTTGGGTAATGCGGCACGAAAATGTTTCAGAATCTGGCAGCTTACAATTATTTATGGCCTGAAACTGTCAATTGGCTTAAGAGCCACAAAGATAGATGAGCTTCGAGCGAGTTACGGCTGTCCTCTCCTCTGTCCCATTCAAACAGAAATATTCTTAGAAGGCAGCTGCAGGACTTCCATTACAAGAAGCAAACATTGCGGTAAATTTCTGTTTACCCAGTTATGCCATGTCCTTGGGGGTATGGGCGCTCTGAGAGCATATTGGGAACCATTTATCATGCCATTCAAAATGGCAAATAAATAGAATATATTTGTGGTTTTTTTTTTTTTGTTGTATTTTGCTGCTGTACTTTTTCGAGTATGCAAAAGGATGTTTGTAAACGGTGTAAACGGTGGAACGATAACAATAAATTGTATGTGAACAATGTGGCACAATTGTACAATTGACACTTGCCTCCGGGTCATGCCACAAATGAATTGTTGCGTCAACAAGTTCTAAGCTTCGATTTTGCCCCCGGGGAAATATTTATTGTTTTCCTCACAGTTCTCAGTTTGTTGGCAACTGTGAGAGTTTTTTTTTCTGCCATTGATTTCATTAGTCCACTCGCTATTTATAGAAAGTTCAACACATCAGTGACTATTTATAGTCGTACATGGTGGTATGGTGCCTTTTTTTGGTCTCGGCAAACAATGTGACAGCGGATACTTAGCTCTCTCGTTGCTCCTGTTGCACGTCTCCGTCGACACATCGTTTTGTTTTCGGATAGCAGAGCAGTGGAGAGCAGTGCAAACATGGGCCAAAAAGTGTGTGTGTGTGTGTGTGTGGGTGTGCGAGGAAAGGAAAATAACTAAAAATGTGGCAACAAAATCGATATGGAAACTCTACATCATGTATAAAGTTGTTGCTACATAAATATCAAATATGCAAATATTTACCCGGCTGCCACCTGAAATGCTTTTCTCCTCTGACTGTGAAAATGTTGGGAAAATTTTTGACGTGTTGTGGGAAAGACACAGAGCTACCGCACTGGTAGCTCGATTTGCCTGGCAATATGCAAAATCTCCAAAGGAGCAGCACCGTTGCCACCCAGTTATATCCCCCGTCAGCCACCCCGTCAGCCTGGGGAATAGCTGTCACCTTGGAGTTCCAGCACCCACCCACCAGTTGCCCCGTCCCCCTTCCGCACCGCCATAAGTGTATCCCCCACATCTGAACATGTTGTATGGTATGTATGGTAGCGTTAATAACGCCAGCCAGTCAGCAAGTGAAGAAGGAACGAAAAGATCAAAAGCTTTAACACGCCACCGTAAGCATGTGCAAATATGTATTTCAGTTGATTTTATTCTTTATTTTTATTTTCATCTTATTTTGTACGTTCCGTGCAAATTTCCCCTTCGCCGGGCCACAAATAATAACAAAAAAAAAAGAAAAACAAAAAAAAATTAATACTGTATGCGTTGGCGATGAGCCTAAAAAGTCCCATAATGCCAGAAACACGGCCAGACAAGAGGTGGGTTCTCTTTTTTCTTTTTGTTTGGTCAGAGTGGGGGGAGGGACTGGATCTGGGAGTCAGTCTGGGCCCTGGGTTCAGAAGGGACAGGCGGCCAAGCGTGCTGTCATTTTTTTTGCTGTCCTGTTGCGCCCCGTTTTCGAGAGCTCCTTGGACAGGACCGGGACCTTTGCTTTTGGGTCCGTTTTTCGTTTAACGTTCGGTCTATACCTGCAGCTGTTTATCATAATTTTGTTGATTTGCTGTCTGCTAAAAGTAACAATAATAATCACAAGAACAACAGCAACAACAACAGCAACAACAACAACAACAGCAACAACAACAACAACAAAACGATGGCGGCAAAATCAAAATAAAATAAAAGGAGGAAAAAAGAGGGAAAAACTGGTCGCCCCGGAAAGTATGCTACAAAAAAGTTTCCTTCACCAAAGGCACACCCGAAAACGAAAGGACAACAAAAAAGTGGAAAGGAGGAAGGAGAAGAAGTAGCCAAGCAAGGCAAAAAAAAAGGGAGAAAACTTTTGCAAGTAAATTTGAATGCTGAAAACTTGTATTAGCGACAACAAAAAGTATGGAAAAAGTAAACTCAGTTTCACTTCAGGCTTCAGGCTTGATGCCCTTAAAAGGTGTGAAATTAAACGAATTAATTTGAAGAAATTTCCAGTTGGAGAAACTGGGATCCATTGCGATTTCGATCAGCTGTTCAGCTGGCACCCATCAATTATTCGAATTTGAATTTTCATATGTTCCATAACGCAAGCAGAAAACCAATTTAACCAAGATACATATGCATTTATGAATTGTTTTGATATTCGTTCGAAATAATTGAAGTAGCAAATTCTGTAATGTATTCTACATTAGCAGCGCAGAACTCAAAGTGCAAATCGCAGAATTTAAATGTCATTGCTGACGCAACTAAACGCGTCAATCCTTTCCTCCGTGAACCTCCCATCCTCCGCACACAATCTATTTTGATGAGCGATAAAAATAAATTTCCATCGGAAACTTGAGCAGAAATCAAAGTGAATTTTCTGCTGAAATTACCGGCAAACTCAAAGCTAATCATATTTAACTTTTCCAAACGAGGGTATAGAGGTATATACAGACATACATATTTAGGTATATACATATATATATTTATAGAGAGTAACATAAACTTTGGTTTTTTTTTTTTCTTGTTGGCTGACCGTCCGCATGCGTCATGTCCAATGGGTCGCAACGCTTTTCATAACTTTTTGGCAATGGCCTCTTGGTCTCTTGGCCTTGTGCTTGGCGACATTTTATAATGAATTGTTGTCAAAATATAATGTGGCCATTGTTGTTGTTGTTGTTGCTGTTGTTGTTGTTGTTGTTGTGTGTGGGGCAATTTAATAAAATATTCAATTGCCTTTTGGCCGACTTGCGTTCCCCAAGGGAAGGCAAATGACCGGGCCAGACCGGTTCCGTCTCCATCTCCATCGGCCTTTGGACTGCCAATTAAAAACATGGCGTCATGGCAACATCAACTGCTAACGGCATACGGATGGAGCAAGACAGCAGGAGAGCAGGAGGTAGCACGAGCACGCAAATGTTTATTAGCCGCAAAA